TATGCAACTACGCTTTAGAAACAAGCCCCCAAAAAAAACGCGACCCGCGACTACCAATATTTGTAAGTGACTTTACAGAAAAACAAGCCCAAAGTCGCTTATAATAAGTGGACATGGCAACACTGTTTAAAATTTATTTTAAAACTTCTGGTTTTTAAGGCTCATAATGGTATCGCCTCATCCTATATAATAAAATCCCTATCACCTTATGTCCCTCCATGAACCCTGAGATCCTCCACAGCTACTCTTTTAACTGTTCCTAATGCCATAACAAAAACCTTTGGGGATGCTTCTTTTAGCTAATACGCCCTCAAAATATGGAACACCCTGCCTTTAAATATTAGACTTGCTGGCTCAATGGACAGTTTTAAAGAACGACTCAAAACATATCTTTATAATATAGCTTATAACTAGCATTATTTATTTATTTTATTTTTTATTACGTGATAAGTTAATGGATTTATTCTTCTCATTTCTTCTTGAATGAGTATTGTATAAATGGATGGGTTTTTTTTTTTTTTTTGCTGTTTGTCACTGCTGCTGAATTGTCATTTATTCATAAGTCTGCTGTGGGGTACAACTGGATCTTATACAATAGGTAAACATGCTTAATTTCTGGTTACAAGATATAATACATGGCCGTCAAAAAATCAACTATAGTGTTTGATATAACTAAATGCTAAAAAATAACACCAGTCAGTGATATAAGAGGAAGAACAACCAAAATATAGCATATGATATTATAAAATATCATATGCTGACAATTTTACTCCTTACTTATCATGTGTAGCATCATAAAAAACGTTGTTTATATTTATGTGCTGATGATTTTACTCTTTACCTGTCAGATGTGGAATCATTAAAATATCCTTATATGCAGACAATTTCACTCTTTACTTATCAGATGTAGATTCATTGAAATATCTTTATATGCTGATGATTTTACTCTTTACTTATCAGATGTAGAATCACTGAACTGTTATATGCTGATGATTTTTACTTTTTACCTATCAGATGTATAATCATTACAATGTCTTTATATGCTGATGATATTACTCTTTCCTTATCAGATGTAGAATCATTAAATATCTTTATATGCTGATGATTTTTTTCTTTACTTATCATATGTAGAATCATTAAAATATCAATATATTTTGAGGATTTTACTCTTCAGATATCCAAACACCACATTCTTCCTATCAGTTGAGTTTTGATAAGCTCTGGATACAAACTGGACTGGGGTGAATCTGAGTTGATCCAATTTTAGCATCGTTGTGAAAAACACACCAAAATAAAATGAAACTCAGGACACCGAGCAGCATTTATGAAACATGAGAACTCCACCTCACACAAATTCTAAATCGAGGGAAGAAAATGTTAGAAACATGTTCTGTTTTCCAATATCATTATGGGGTACGGTAAATATAAAAATGTCTATAATTGCAGTGTGATCTATGTTTTCAAAATGTTAGTACTTTACATCACTCTATGATGACTTTACATGTTGTGGAAATTAAGCAAGATCCTTATATTTACAGCTGACAGTATAAGTTTAAAAGGAGAACTAGAATTATAAAATATAGCAAAAAATACTGTGCATAAGACTGCTTCCATTTATGGTTTCAAAATCAGATTTCTGGTTGAAAACTGAAATGAAACAAGATTTAACAGTGTAACCTTTACTTCATGCTGGTTATCCCAGATACACAAGAAAATACAGACTTCATTTTATGCTACCCACCAATTGGCCTCCCACTCTCTGTGCTTTGTGTGTGTACCCAGTCACTTTCAACTCGCTACCAAGCAGCCTTGTATTATTTTGCCTGGATCCTTGGTTACCAAACACAGTCTGAAACACTACCTGGCCACGGGTATGCCACATGTCAGAAAGAAGACAGAGGAAGCAGAACAAGACTTATCAATCCATCAAACCTCCTTTATCTTATTTACATAATTTCCTGTGCAACAATACCCTTTGTGTCGAACTCCGACACAAAGGGTATTTAACTTCAAGGAAAACAGCACGACAAGTAAAACTATTTAATACTATATTTGTCAGTGAGCAAAAAATAAAAATAAAAAAGCATGTTTGCTGATATACAACTATAACTGATAAATGATAATCAAACCTTGAATAAAGTGATTATTTTTTAGATACTGTGTTACAACCTTCTGTATGTCGCTAGGGAAAAGGGAAGAAATACAGCAACATCAAGCCTACAAATATTGGCAATAAAGTAATTTATTGTTGTTACAAGGCAAGCTACAAACACAAGTCATTGGTTTGAAATGTCTGAAACTGACCACTAGTCACTGAGACAACAATCTTGGATGATAGAGGTAACATCATTAAATCACATTCTCTGCCTTGTGTTCATTTTGTATTGCTGTCCAAGGCAAGTGGTAAAAGTAGTTCTCTAGTACAACAGTTACACATAGATAAAAAATTTCACTGATCAAACAATCAGCTGGATTAGCAGCCAGCACTAAACAAACCCAAAGAGTCATTTGGCCTTTTTTAAATGATATTTTTTCTAATTCTGCAGTGGTTTTCATAAACTGATTACAAACATATTGATTTAATTTATCTTGAAATCAACAAATATCTAGTTAAATTTGCCACTTGGTATCTAAGGTCAATGCCACAAAAATGCATTCAAAGAAATGAAAAGTAAACAAATCCAAAAATAAATCAATTCTCATAATGCACAAAACGTGAAACAGAACTGAATTTGGGACTATAAATATAGGTTAAGCTATAGTTCAGTTCAGCAGTTTAATGTGATTCACACATTTTAAGACTATTTGTTTTATATAGTAAAAGGTCAAAGGCATGTGATGCTGTTTGAACGACTGAAAGAGAGAAGATGACTTGTCAAAAGCACAGCATCATCAAAATTAACGCTACAGGTAAAAATAAGCGCAGTAAAAGAATCTTTCTTTAAATGTTAATTAACAGGCCATGTAGCACAAATCATTTTCATACACACTCCACTCATGGGTAATATGATTTATTTTTCTTTAAACACTTATTTCAATGCTGTGTGATATGATTACAATAAATATGTGATTCAAATATATAAAAGAACTTAAATCCATTAACTTATTTTAAATACAATGGAAAAAAAAAATAAATATGCAGGTGTATTTGATAGTGCTCAGATCTGCGTAATAACAACTTTCACTTTTAATTTTCTACTTGAAAAGCTGTGTAGACCCTTTATCAAGTCACTACAGTCACTACTGTGCTGATTAAAAAAAGCTAACCAGACAGTTAATTACTATTTGAATATGTTACGGTTTACTGTTGTCTTGTCTGGAACTGTGCTGGCTGTGAGTCATGCCGAGGAAATGTAAATATGAATTTGTTTGAAGATGACTCGATCAATCTTTAGAATTATACTGTGAAGTTGCTCCTAAACAAAAACAACTGCTAACAAAGAAACCTGTTAAACAAAAAAACAAACCATAAAATAAAATAAACATAGATCATTCCATATTTCTAATCATATCCTGAAATACTTTGCTCTTTGCCATTATCAGTATCAACTTTTTGAAAATGTTAACATCTCATTTTTGAATTAAATACTGACATGGGAAAAGAAAACACTTAAGGCTCAAGTGCTCCACTGACAGTTGGGTCGCAGGCTTGGGAGGCATTCAGGGCGCAGCGGTTGGGATTTTTTTGGCCCGAGTGAGGTTTCTTTGCCGGATACAGGCTGTGAGGTTCTCCACAAGTGCGGGTATTGGTCTGCTCTCGCCTTTAGATGTCACCTCCTTTAGGAGCTCTGTACAGTTTGACTGAAAGACAAGAAATAAAGTTGGTTCAGTGAACTACCCTCATGACAGTTTGTCATATGTCACTCTACACTGCCGCTGCATTTGCTTTTACTATCTAAAAGTACAGAGTGTGTGTGGTGTTCTAGACACGCGTAACACAGATTTGACTTTCTCACTTTGCAATTGTGATGTCAGAGGGAATTCTTACATTGCTGCCATCAAGAAATATCTTCAAGTTTCTCACAAGCTCCTTCTCTTCCTTTCCTTCCTTCCTTTTACCGAAGTGTTCGTGCTTGTGCAGGACATCATACACTTTGCAGAAGAAATTGTCCTAGATGGAATATAAGCAAGAATATATTAGCTTTAGACACAAGACCAACACAAATATATGTTGAAAAAGTACCTGTGCTACTGTCTAATTGCAACAGTTACATTCGTTTTGCCAAACTTCACAGCACTTGAACTGCAAGCAACAATATTTCAAGGACATAACACTCTTCTCACCTGACATCCAGCTTCAACCAAGTGTGACACATCCTCAACAAAGAATTCCTGCAGCACATAAGAAAAAAATTAGGTAACTTCCTACTTCAGGCAGCCTTTTTTTCCAACATATAAAGGTTTAACACAATAGAAAGTGTTGCAAAAATAACAAGTTAACTAGCAAGAAAACAGTTTAGATGAGTTCTTACCTTTACAAGAGTTTCATTGTATTTTTCTGCCAGGTCAATTATACTGTTCAGATTATCTTCAAGCTTGCGATGAGGAGGACTGGCAGCGGCCAGATTGACCAGCAGTGCCGCAGCGGATACCAGCAGAAGCATCATCATGTTCGTGATACCAGCTCGTTGATGGTCGATCTCTGAAGGAAGCTATTTCAACAATTGTTTGAACTGATCACTCAACTATCAGCTTGCAGCTTGCTCTGAGGTCTTGGCTTTATATTTGCTTCGCCCACGCGCTTTGACACGTTTTTCCCCTCATTACACCAAAAAAAAAAAAAAAAAAATGCAGCTTGCTCTGAGGTCTTGGCTTTATATTTGCTTCGCCCACGCGCTTTGACACGTTTTTCCCCTCATTACACCAAAAAAAAAAAAAAAAAAAAGTAGTGAGTCTGCAGTATGTGTGAGATAAGATTGGTTTGATTAAAGTGCGGTTGATGAGCAACATCACCTCAACTGAGCTATGATTCTCTTACACCAGTGAAAAGAGACTCATAATTAACAGCCCATGTCCTTCCCAAGAGATTTAATGAAAATGTTGATCTTATAAAGTGGCAAACATGGAATTACAACTGTTAACTGCAATATAAACCAGCATTTTTTAGCAGAACACATCTTTCTGTTGCCACTGCTGGCCAGCAGGTGCCTACTGAACACTTTGTAAAAACACCAGTGCAAGACTTTATCAACTTTATCACTGTCAGTTTGTTTTTAAATGGTTTTGATTTGTGATATCATCCAAGTACGTTTAAATAAGACATCTGAAAAGCACCAGATTATTTATGAACTCTGTAGGTACTTTGCCTTGTACTTTTTTGTTTGAATTTAAGCCGTAACACAGTGTAAAGCACAGCTGAAGTCTAGGCTATTGAACAGTGACATTAAAAAGGAACATTATCAACATACTAAACTTTGAAAGAGTTTTTGGAAATGTCTTTCCAGCTGGATGTAAAAAAAGACAGGACAGAGATTGCCCTTTGTGTTGATGTAATATGTAAAGAGAGCCTACTTGTATATGAATCTCTTTGGTTTGGGTAGGTTAAGTATTTGCAGATCAGTTAACTCTCCAACCTCCAAATGGAACAAGTGACTTGAAATTGGATTTTGGCTTCAAACACACAGACATACATTTTCATCATTACTGCTGTTTGACTAAATCAACTGAACATTCATTTTGCCCAAAACAAGAAGATCAAGAGACACTGTGCATTTGCAAAGGAGTGTAAAGAGTCTCTCGACTGTTTAGTGGAGATAAGATGAGAGGGACGTGATGCTGCATTTTGTGATCTCAGAGTTCTGGTCCTGGTTTTTACGGATGCGGTAGAAGTGCTCGATGTAGCTGGACCGCCCCAGCAGCTCCACAAAGTCCTCATCGTGGGTGATGACCAGCAGCTGGAAGTTACGCTGGCGTGAGCGACTCTTAATGATTCTGGGGAGAGTGAGCAAGAGGAGATAAAAAAAAGAACATGAATTAGATGAACAGAATGGCAAACATTACATAGGCCTAAGAATACTGAAAAATAACAACAAAACATGTACAACATGAACAACTTTTATTAATAAATATTTAAAAAAGTGCAAATGCAGCAGTCACCAAAACCGAATGAAATAACAACAAATTGTCTGTGGGCTACAGTCCACTTCCAAAAAAGTAACAATAACAAAGGCAGTAACGATAATATACATAATATATGTATGCTATACAGCGTATCCTCAGACCGCAACGGGTACTGTCTGATGGTTTATTTTTAGAACCTATCAACATGAATCAAATAAATTAAAAGCACAGCTCTACAGCATCCAGTACTAGGGCTTACCAAATAAGAAAAACAACAATAACTAACAAGGCATAACCGAAAATGGGCATATATAATCCTATCCTGAGAAAGCAACGGGAAATACTGTTTGCTGGTTTATTTTTAGAGCCTACCTTTAGTTTGAAAAGTTCACCCTCTCCAAGTCCGAACTTTTCTGTCCGTCAGAACAGGCTACTCCTCATTGAAAATGACATTTCAACAAACTAATGATAACTATAGCAGCATCCTATGCTTCAAAACTATTCAAGGTTTTTCGCCAGAAAAAACAGCATGTTTACTTTTTCCGGCTGGAGCAGGGCACGTAGTGAATTGACAACTTCAGCCGCGGTGCTGAACATCGGCTCTGATGGAGAGCTTGTGGCACAAATGCACAGGTACTTTCGGGCAACCCCCGACGTCAGAGGAAAACGCCTGGCTCCATCACTTTTCCACCAGAGAAGGGCGTCTTTGTCTCCCTGAATAACAGGCTCGCGACAACAGGCAGTTATCTCTGCTCCTGCTGGCTCCTGTATGGTGCCGACCGGACCTGCCAACACATCGGCTCTTCTTTGAAGGAGACTGCCCAGAGTCATCCGTTTTTCAGTGGTTCGGGTTGCACTTCTCCCTACTCCACTCTGATGGCCACTGGACCTGCTGCTTCTGCTGCTGCTGCTGCTGCTGCTGCTTGCAGAAGATGTGTTTTTTTTGCAACCAACTGGCTTGATGCGCGGCTTGCCATCTTTTCTTCTCTTTCTCATGTCTGAGCTGTCACGTGACGACGTCACATCCAAAAACTTTATCAAATGTCATCTCCCAACAACAGTGAAGGGCAGTTATAAGAGAAACATTACAGCCTACTATTAGTTTGAAATCGTAATGAGTATTAAATTGAAAACTCAACCACACATACATAGGTGCTGGACAAGCACTCATTATGTAGGCATTAAATAAATTAAATTATATTTAATATTATATCAGGCCCCCATAGGCCTATATGGGCGGCAGATTTTGTTTAATGACGTAATGAAACTGATACCGTTGCTATTTTTAGATACCACGGGATACCTTATTATCGTATTATTGCCCAATTCCACCGTAAGAAAGCAGCCGTTTATCAGTTTATCAGTACATCGGTAATAATGGCCTTAATGCAAGGCTGAAGATGAGTTGAAGAGGCTTTTGAACCAGAGTCTGCATGCTGCAAAGTCAGTGTGTGTGTGGGTGTGTTTTGTACCTCTACCCTTGTGAGAACCATAAGTGTGTTTGAGACCTATTTTCAATACTTTGAGAGTGAGAACATTTGGGTCAATCCTCACTTCTTCAAATGTCTCATGTTTCTGTTTCATGATTAAGACATGGATTTAATAGTTACAGGTTTCAGGTAAGAGTTGGGGTTATGGCATATAGACATGACTGTTAGGCAGTATAAGAGATTGAGTGATGCATTGTGTCAATAAGGGTCATCACAAGTTTAAAGTCAAAAACACGTGTGCGTGTACTGACTCTACGAGGGCGTGTGCCAGGGACTCAATGTTTTCTCGGTCCAGGTTGGTAGTGGGCTCATCCAGGGCCAGGATGCCGCAGTTCAGACAGAAGGTCTCTGCCAGAGCTAGACGGATGATCAGGGACGCCAACACCTAGACACACCACGCCAGATTTGAAAGACACACACAAATTAATCAAACAAAAAAATCCAAACCGGTGTTGCGAAGTTGCTTTGTATGAGCTAGACTTTTGTACTCCACTTGCTTCCAAAATGATTCACTGGAGAAAACTGTACCTTTTTTTAATCACATACATGACTGGGTTTTCTGTGATATACAGTATGTGCTAAAATAGAAATAACTTATCTGGTACCTTCTGTCCAGCACTGCAGCGTCCTCTCATATCCAAAGCTGTGTCTCCTTTCACCATCACTACTCTGTAGTTGTAAACCCTCCGCCTCACTCCAGCAGACGAGTTTTCGTCCACGTCAGACCTGATCTCCACGTACTCAATATCTGGCGAGCGGACAAGGGAGAATGATTACACACTGAGTGAAGGAGGAGAACTGTGCATACAATGAACACAACAGATTCAGTTTTTTTTTTTTTTTTTAAGTGAAACACACCTTGACCCCTGTAGGTGCTGCGCCATAGGTCTCTGATTATCTTGTTGATCTCATCCATCTTCATGCTGTGGAATTTCATGATGGTTCTGAGGAAAGCAAAAAGAAAACAGAGGTATAAACCAAGCTGCAACCTACTGGGCTGAAATATGAAGCCAACATGGAAGTGCCAGAGTGCAGTTCTTTTAATGGCCACAAGAGGCTATCTCCAAAAGCCAGTGAATCCCCATAGACAGCCAATGCTCAACTTTACAGCAGAAACATGTTTACAGCCTGGTGCAAAACAGTTTTGGTCTCTATAGCCAATTTCCCCTTTTATGACAACTGTACAGGGGGTGATTTTGTTTATATAATATTCATCTATTAACATTTTATTAAGGCTTAAAGTTACACAGAATTAAGGGTGGGATGCCTTGAGTGACAGGATGTCAACTGATAGTGTCCTCAGCTTCTTAGTCAGATCTACCCCTCACTCCTTCACAGTGCCAGCCTCTCGCCAAAATATAGTCACTTTTGGCTCCGAAAAGCCAAGATGGCGATGGCCTAAGCGCCAAACTCGAGGCTTAAAAAGGAGAGTCCACAAACCAATGGGTGACATGACGTTACGTTGGCTACGATGTACTAGATACCATGTCCACCTTACCGAAATCCAATCTACTACACATTATTTTGTTTGACATCTTACTTTACCCTAGTAAAGGGATGTAATTTAATGTAATTGTAATTTATACATACCAAACTGTAAAGCAAATAGTTTTAATAATATAAAAAACGTTTATATGTTTACAGGTCCTGGCGTGTGCAAAGACACAAAAGGACAGAACTAAATGTATTTTAGATGAAGAAGGGAGCACGTTGCAGGATTACAGCATACGGTAGATTAAACTCTCCGTTGGTTCAGAGATGAAGATATCCAGGCCACACCACAATGTGCACACATGCTTGCACACATAAAGGGCAATTATGTGAGCTGAAACCGACACAAACAGATAATTACCATGAACCTTCATGCAGTTTAGACAAGTGTGCCAATGCACACTTGGCCTGACTAACTACAAGACATTTTCTGATCATCTGGTTACAAAATGACAGTGACAGCATTTTTTTTTTCCTAAAGCCATCTCATATTGATACATGGCAAAGATACATACTGATATAAAAGATATGAAGGCAGCCAACTAGATGCTGCTTTCCGGCATACCAAGAAGCATTTTGTCTATAATCTAGCAAACTGACTGTGTGGTTTGAAAACACCACAGTGATAACACAAAGCTTCTTCTTGAAGCCCATATATGGTGGATATATCGACAAACCATGAAGAAAGGAAGAAAAGACAGAGGGAGTAGAGCCGTCCTTATCAATTCATCTGACTTTGTGTACCTTGCATGTATTTACACTCTTTATGCAACAAAAGGAAGTCATGGTTTATGACTTCCTTTTGCAAGGGAATTCAAATTCAAGGAAACAAAAATGTAACCTGATTAAGTCATGATCAGAAGATTGCTGATTAGGCCTTTTTAGAGTATTGCCCTCTCTAGGATTGTCCTGTTATATTGTTTAGAATATTGAATTAGAGTGAAACAGCATCCTCCTGTTCATGATGGCTATTAAAAAATACGTTCCCTGATGTGAGACATGACCGACAAAATCCACAGTTCCTGACCTGTGTGAAAATATAGTCCAAAGTCTTTTAGAGATTAAATGTCTTCCGAAGTATCAGCCTGTTTAGTACAGAATTTTCTACTTGTTTTTCCTTGGACAGTGTTTCCTTGCTGAGCTGCAGTGGAGAGGTTGTTACACAAAGAGGGAATTTTGTTCTAAAAAGACTGACATTAGATGATACTCACTTTTGTAGCAACACAATGTCATTTGGCAAGACACTGCAGTGGCCAATTAAATACATTTAAGTTCACATTGGGTAGGTTAACGCTGTATTTCTACCGTTAATTTGCCATAACTGCAATGAATGATAAGATAGTTGGTGCTCAGTGTCCAGCAGATCAGACTGTGGTTGTACTAGCAAGTGTCCAGGTGTGAAAATTCATAACTTTGTAAGTGGAGCTGGGTGAAGCTTCCTTTTTTTACTCCCAAATATATAATGTATACAACAAGGCGGAAATCATGTAGGTCATGTCAGGGTTGCAAGTAGTACAGAAAACCAGAATCAGCAGACACACACGTGTACACACAAGAACAGTGACTGCTCTCTCTTTGTGACCCAATAACCTGGCAGCCTGCTTCGACATACTTACAACTCCCTAAACGTAATAGAGCATCAATTTTAAAATCTATTTTGTTTCATGAGAAATACATGAAGACCTGTACATTTGATGTAGCAAACCTTAACTTATCCCACTGAAATGAGTCCAGTAAAACATTTCTTTTAGTTTTAAATGAAATAAACAGAACGCTGGAGGCTACTAGGCTTAGGCAGTATGAAGGTATCACAATGCACCAGGGTATATAGATATCCTGATGGTATGATTTCCAATAACATCAAAAACACAGATGCTCATCTTTGTATTAAACTAATACAGAGATGCTGTATTGAGGGTGTATTGGATGTAGTGCACATTACGCGTCAATAAAGGTCAGTCTCTACTGGTGAAACAGGCAGCTGAGCTGACAGCTAGTGGTGGTGACAATGTTACAAGACTTTAAAAAGACGGCCAGAGAGACTGGGAAGAACAGCAAATTTTCAAATCTAACTCGGTCAATTAAGTTTATTTTTCCTGACCAAAGAAGAGCCAGTGATTGTTAGAGCAGTGAACTAATTAGACCAGTAGTTCAATTTTTTTGTGCCAAGAACCCATGAATTGATACCCATTAGGCCACAGACCCCCATTTTTATGAGATCTCGCTTTAGGGACCTACAGCTGAACAGTTTTTGGTTGTAAGATATGATTAAGAACAGAATTCTATAGTTGGCAATTACAATTAAGAAGACAACTGGAGGAAGTGAAACCTCTGATCAGAATAGTCACTTACTCACAATTGGCTTACTTCGACAGTGAATTCAATAGGGCAAAATAAACTATTTATCTTTTTTTCTGGGGATCCCCTGGAACACCCTGAAGGACCTGGTGAAATTTCAGGAAGGTATTAAAGGGATAGTGCACTCAAAAATGAAAATCCAGCCATTACAACCAACACAACTCCACCTAATGGAGGCTTAAGGCTCCCCAGATTCAAACGTCCAAAAACACATAATTGAAACCACAAAATACTAGATCACTGTGGACGAGCAGGATGGAGATATTTTGTGGTTTCAATTATGTGTTTTTGGACGTCTGAATCTGGGGCGCCGTCAGCCTCCATTAGGTGGAGTTGTGTTGCTACCCCCTCTCCCCTGGCATCTCTGCAAGTGATGTGAGGACTCTAAAACTTCACCTGAGCCTCCCTCCGCATATGGGTGAGTAGATAATGGCTGAATTTTCATTTTTGGGTGCACTATCCCTTTAAGCAGGATTTATACTTCTGTGTCACATTGACGCCATACTATGGGCGTAGGCTCTGCATCGATGTAGAGCCTACGCTATACCCTTAGCCTGACGTTCACCTCCCCAGAAATGTAACTACACGTTGCATGACGCAGACCCCCTGTCCATTTTTGTAAGCTGAAACCATTTCCCTCAGTGGAAAGGAAGCTGTTACTTACTTTAATTTCACAAATAAGAAACAATACACTGTAAAAACAATAAAGCCTTCACAAAATAGCATTTTAAGTCTTGTGTATGATTTATCCTGGCTTCATATAGGTAGAGGAAATTTCCACTTCCACAAATTTATACAATGTAAAATGCCTTGTGCTAATAAAATTAGCATGTTATAAGTGTTTGGAAAACACACTTAGTATAAGACAGTTGTTTTGTCAGTGAACCATGTGAGTTGTAATAGAACCGAATTTTGTAATGTTACCTGTGTTAAATGTTGCTGTTGTCTCTGCCATTATATAAATAGAGGAAAAGTCTGCTAGCAGTTCAGCTAATTTATACAATGTAAAATGCCAAAGGCTTATGCTAAAAACATTAGCATGTTTTATTTGTGTGGAAAACATGTCCAGCAAAGGACAAATGCTTTGTCTGTGAATGCTGTAAGTTAAAGTGAAGCTGACTTGTTTACTTGTGTTTAAAATTGTCTCTATTAAGCAATGTTTTAAGTGTGTTTTGAGTATTTTTTGCATAAACTAAACTTGACAGCACTTCACAGAAACCCTGACACCGACAAATGTTTTGGAGGTGTAACTGCAGAGTGATACCTGATAACCTCACAGTGGTGTAGGCTCTGCATAGAGCTGACGCCCCCCCCCAAACCTAAAGGTTACTATCCCTTGCTTGTTGTGGCCTAGCTGTAGTAAAGTTAGTTTTAACATAAACTGTTTTGTTAGAATGGGTTTTTAGGGAGTTATCAGGACAGCTATTGCATATTATGTAAGCTAAAATTATAATGTATTATATATGTGTATATAACAATATATTCAAATGATTGCTTTATAGTTTTGGTTGAACGTGATTAACCTGCCATTTATCTGACTTATACATGCACTACTTGAGACCACAGGTACAAATTTGTCATTGAGTTAACCTGGGCCACTTATAGTGATGTTTTTGAAATGCCAGTGGACAAATAATGTGCATTTTCAACTAGAAATAAACAAACAGTCACACAGTTATACAATGAGTTTTGAATTTTGAATTTTATAACAATGCAATTGAGATTATTTGATATTTGATAATCACAAAACAAGTGACAGTGTGAGTTTCATATTGCCTTTGTTACACTCCCAAATCAAACATCTCTGAATCATTTTCTGTGTATTCAAACAGAAACTGTGACCTGGATGTAGCGTCTGCTGCTGGAAGGCTGCTAAAGCTTGCTTTCAATCTTGATAACAAACACTGCATCATTTCAGACACTGATGGCTTAACCCACACATATGGGTAAATGATGCTTCAGCTCTCGTCTCAGATGGTATCTGACACTGAGTTCACACTTGCTTTCTGAGGTTCACTTACGACTTTCATCCTCTGTTTGTTTCTCTATCAGACTGTTTCTTATGTCCCAGAACATAAAAAAATGGTCTGTCACC